GGTGAGCGTGGGTGAGAAGCGGCACCCTTTGTGTTCGGGTCCGATCGCTCGAAAGATTAGGAAGAAACGAAAGCGGCTCGAGTGTTCGGGCCACGACTTAACGTTGCTACAAACGATACGGTTTACTTATTTGTACCTGAGCATCGATCAACGCCCGAATGCTTTTTACAGGCTGCCCACAGGAAAATGATTTTTTTATTTGTTTTATTTGTTTTCTTTTTTTTTTTCAAACGTATCACGCGTTGAGTAAAAGAAACCTGTGTGCGCGTTCAATCGATATCCCATTAGGAAAAAAGGTTGAAGTATCGCGTGAGCTTGTGGAAACGTGCTCCACCGCCAGATTGCTTTTTTTAATTATTATTCAATTCGGTCGGAGCATTTTTAGTCGACGTTCGTTCATTTTTCTCCGGAATATTTCACGCTATTAAACGCCCACCCCGGGCTGCGAGTACTCCGAACGACGGAAGTTTAATTCAATTTCGAAAGACATGTTCGGGAACTGAGAAGTAGCAGTCTCTGCACGATACGAGCAACGCATCTGAAACTTGGAGCAAGCAACTTCGCGTTTAAAGATCTAAGCCACTTTTCCAGCATGATCCGATAGTTTTCGGTCGAGCGGGATCATCCAACGTTCATCCCGGCGTTCTTATTTTCGATTTAGTGGAAAGAGGGGGATGCAAAGTTGGAACCACCTCGGTTCGCGTGTAGCGCGGATCCCAGAGGTAATATCGCAATGAAATGTGGTTTAGTCTCTCGGTCCTGCCACAATGGGGACTAGCGTGCCCCCGTGGTTTATCCCTGAACCCGTCGTAATTCCCCCCCATCCACTCGTACCACGTTACACGTTGTGCGTAACGCAAATTCATGTCGTCGGGGTATTCTCTGTCAAATTAGGACGGACCATAATGCATACATTATGGAAAGCAACGTGGCTCCCACTTGGATCATCTCGTCCTCCGACGATGTCCTCCGACGAAATTGCACCGCGTGGCAAAATTGACTCGTCTTTCTTTATTCGTGCCTTGGGCCTCGCCGAGGATCTCGTTCATTTTTAAACGTTAATTAAACTTATCGGCGTCTAAACGCGGTACGATGGTAAATTTGTGTTCAGAAAATAGGTCGTCTTCGTTCCACTGCGATAAAGGATCCTTATTTGTTCGGTATTCCGATTTTCTTATTACAACGAAAGGAGGAACGAGAGTGGAGATAGATGCTGGCAGTTGGGAAGGGAAGCAACGGCGAAAGATTATTTAAAATACATGAATATTAATGACTAGCCGACACCTCTGAATGTTTCCGGCTGCGGGGAAACGCAAGGAAGCCGGTCAAGGAATTTGTAGCATTCATCGGGTTACGAGTAAAAAGGCGAACGAAAAGGCAGCACGCCGTTGGGACGATTATTTGAAAAATGTAGCCGAATTAATGGGCCGAAATTTTTCGCGTTCGTCAAGAGAGGAGACAAGGAATGCATGCCTGTGTATATTTAAAATACCAGATAACGAAATATCATTCGTGCGAATAGAGCAAAAAAGTGATTACTTATTACGCTAATCGGGGGATATTTTTAGCGTAGAGGACACGAGATACAAATAACAATAATTTATGTATATCAAACAATGATATCGAAGAGACGAAAACACCGAGAGTCTTCGACACGTTAAATTCCCGTACCGATTTCCACCCATTCTCTCGGTGCTCTGCGAATCTCGTTAGTCTTCAATTACGGTCAAAGTTGCCAGATATGAAACAGGCATTAGGGGAACGGGTTAGCTAATCGCGTCTACTCGATGACAGGAACTATCTGTTTCGCAAACGAAACGTTCGCGGAAGATTGATAAACCAGGTGATAAGCGAATTTCGGATTCAGAAATTCCCTGGATTCGTGTCTTAATTATCCCTCGTTTCGTATTTCGTTCTCTTGATTACTGCTGCTTCCTTACACCTGAACGTGCTTTCTTACACCTCGGATCGTGACACCCCTTTTTGTCAACTCCCTCTCTCTTTCTCTTGCTCCCTCTGAAGGCGAAACTTGAACAAACGCGATAACAACTATCCCCGTGGCTGGCATTCGGATTGCAACGCAACATACTGCAGCAATGTAGCTGGAGAAACATCTGGACACGCCAGCAAGTTAAACTAAGACTGATGACTGAGCCAGACAGGAACTCCGGTCGCCATGGCGGTGAACCACACGAATCCCGTTCAGTCTTTCAACGTACCTATCCAGGAGGATACCGGCTGGTGGCACACTTCCTCTTCAGAAACGGATCGACAAGTTGGAACTCGCCAGGCCAGAAGCCACGGCGAATATTAATCCCGTTTTCTTGGTCGACATCCCGGTCAGCTTCCCCCGATGTACTCCGTAGAAATTTCCGATCCGTTCGCCGACCCTCGGTGTTATTGCAGTCACGTTAGACGAGAAGGTTACCAATAAAAAGGCGACATTTCACGCCCCGGGCAGCGGATATAAAATCCAGGAGACTTTTGTGGACTAAGGGAACGCGAATTCGACGATCTCCCTTTTCAACTGTCTCGCGCGTTACTGCCACGATATTAAATCTTACGATCTACTCGTCTCCTCTGTGGCCGGAATGTCTCTGCGATAATGGAAATCGGCGTGTTCTTTTCTCCTCTTCCTTAAAGTTAAAAAGTTCAAATCGATTCGCGTGCAGGGTCGAGCAGAGAACGCTAGCTATGTACGATTCGCCTCGATTAAATCGTAATTTCGCTATTAAACACGAACAAGACGTTGTTCGAGTGTATCTTCGTTATCCGGATTTTGTCACCCTGAAATAGAACGAACGAGCGACTCGCTATCGATCAACGAGATCCGCTTGAGTGCAAAAACGTAAAAGGCAGAGAACAGGGAGTCTATTATTCGTTAAATACAAAGAGGGTTCGTAGTGAACTGAAACAGCGACTGAGACAAAGGCACGGCGAATATTTGAAGATTCGTGGAAAGAAGGAACGAAATGACAGGTGAAGATAGAAAGGGATATCGGGCCGGGAAGATGGTCGCGGCTGGCCCGGAAGATGGTATTAATCAAATGAAGCGGTTTCTGTTACAAGCGAGGCGAAGATGGGTCTGAGCTGCCTGCCCGTACCCGGGGGATAATCAATCTGGAGAATTAGATCAGATAGCTGGTTGTACGTGAGCCAACTCCGTCTCCTTAGATTTATCCAGTCGCCAAGAAGCCTGATAAAGTACGCTGTGCTACCTCGATATCGAATAAATTCTACGCTTTTGCTTATCAGACAGGCACAATCGTTCGCGACTTTCTGGAAATTTAGCGATTCGTGCTAAAGGATGATCGGGTTGTCAATACGTTCTAGATATTTCCTATTGCACTTTCTTTCTTTCCTTTTCCCTTAACTAGCGTATAAATGACTCGGAATGACTCGGAAAAGAAAAGAAAGAAAAATATGAAGTAAAGCTACAGCTGTACAGTGCGTTCGCGCTGAATACTTTAACGTAAATTTCTGGTACCTTTTAAATTGAAATTTCGAATCGAGGGAACCTCGACTGCGATGTATTATCAGTGTAAATAATTCCAGAAAATAACGTTTCTTGTCTCTCTCTTTAACGCTGTCTTATTTTCACACGACCTCTTTTAAGTATAATATGGAATAGCTTGCTGCACCGCTGTGAAAGCTGTGCTCTGTTTTCAACCTATTGCTAGGTACGCAACGAAAATGTAAAAATTCGCAAAGATAAAACGACACCTCTATCTCATTTTCTAGCCGCTAGTCGGAGAACGAATCTTTCGCCGTAAGAATTTGCCTACGTAACTACGCAAAAGTGGATCTCGTGGGTGTCATTACCGGCTTAGAAGAGAGAATTGCAGCGAGGAATTGCTCGCAGCGCGGTACTTCTTATACGAGTGTGAACAAAAAAAATTTTCGCGATTCACATTCGCCAAATAATTTAATCGAACATCGAATCGCGAAAGAATTTCACATGGAGGAAATGCTTTCGATGTTCGTTCGAGCTGGTTCCGTGATTAGTATTCGTTTCCTCGAAAGATTTTCCGTGAAACAGTATTTCGCTATCGTAATGGGAAACAACCTCAATGAAAATACCAGTAATCGTTTGTTATAAAGATAACAACGTTCCAGCTTCGTAATTAGAATCGAGCTGTCGTTGTTCAATTTACGACACTCACTTTGATTAATTTAGTAGACAATTATGAACTCGGATTTTACGAGTCATAATTTTATGCGCAATCACAAACTAGAATGATAAATGGTGAAATAATCGGACTAAAACAATGTTACTTAACGTTTGAAATTGCATGGAATGAAGAAAAATTTGTAGACTGCAACTAATCGATGAATTTGAAGTTTTATTACAATCTTTTTATTTGATTCTAAATACAATCGCATCCGTACATTGTATATTTTCCTAGTGATAAATAAAAACCTTTCGTTAAAAATTCCGCTGCGGTCCCTCTATCTCTGTTTTAATTTATTTGGAAATCCAGTAGTTGTGATAATTCCAAAATACGAAATCCTCGCAAAAACGAGCCATTTTATTGTCGATACAAGCATTTCAACGCATATAAAATGATAATTTGAAGTATATCAAGGGAGAAATGAGGGAGACACGACCAGAACATTACTTGGCCAATTAAGAGGTACTTATATCTGTCTTAATAGTGCACTAACGACTTAATTAGCACCGCACAAAGTACGAATATTACGTTGCTAAGTACGGCACTATCTGGTTAAATGAAATCACTGTGTCTTAACTAATACACATACATTAATTAACTGTATTATGAATATAACGTGAACCTTCCAGGAAAATCAAAAGAGGATTACTTTTATCCCCCTTATTTTATGAGAAATAAGATCCTGAGGTCGATGCATTGCTAATTATTAAAATAAGCTTGTTAAGCAATTTATGAAAGCAATTTATATTACAAAGTTATGTTCAGTATAAAGCGCAAAGATTTTTGTTACACGACAAGGACGTTTGGTATTTTGATTACTCATTAGCCTATTACTAACATTGCCTCGATTACAGCTAAGATACATAAATACAGCTAATTGATTATATAGCGGAATAGTAATTAGATGGTTCTATGCACATATATATATATAAATATGATCTATTGGAGTTGAGATAAAATAACACCCACCGAAGGAAATACTATTTACCAAAAAATACATTTTCTTATGTTGATACAAAGATTGGTTAGTTTGATTTTTAGAAAATTCGCATGATATTTGAGATTTTTGGAAGAATCTGTAATTTACATCTATATCGCATTCCATACCATACATTGTTGCACCGTTTCGTATCCTTGCATTAATAAATTACGTTAATATAGCCTTACGATTATTAATACTAAATAAGATATTAAAACCAAAGAACCACGTATGTCCCTCAGATTTCCAGTCTCTTGCGAATAACGCTCGATATTCACAATTTTGATATATCTAAATGCAATATTGGAAAATTCATTAAACGCAAGGTTCTACGTAATTTCCGGGAAACAAACCCGTTATACCATCCATGACCCCCTCCCACCACCCATCGTCATTCTTTTTCAATACATAAATTACAGAGCTTTCCTGAAAGCTCAATTCATCTTCCTTGTCGGCATAATAATCATAAATTGCAACAACTAAAATGGTAATATTTTATTATATCTTACTACTACGTAAACACTCTATAATTTAAGAAATAATATTACGACATACCTTTCTCGATATAATTCTTTGGAACCCAACCAGGCAGATCTTCCTCGTCTGGCACAATAGGCATAATAGCACCGCTAGATTGCGTAGGTCTACCGAACTGTGGATGTTCTTCTTGTTCAGGTGGCGGAGGCGGTGGTAATGGTGGACTATTCGCACCACTAGTTCGACTAACTTGATGACTCAATCTTTCTGACAAAGTATGGTAATTGGTAAAATCTAACGTATTACCAGTTATACCGACCAATGGCGAGGGTGGTGCTAGAAACGAAAAACAATTTTCGATCCTTTTTTTGTTGTTTAAATTTAACGTGAATCCAAAGGATACTTACGAGGCATACTATTGTGTTGTTCCTGGGCATATCCTGCTGTCACGCTAGGTGGTGCTGGAGGTGGTGTTTGTGGATGACTTTGCAATGGATGAACTGTTCCTACTTGAGGTGGTGAAGTATGTTGAGTTGCAGTGTTTGTATGTGTATTATGATTAGTATTGTGAGTTGTATGAGATGTGGTATGTGCATGTAAAGGTAGAGTACTATAACCAGGACCACGTTCTCTTCTTGGATGGCCCAGTGGATAATTAGGAGCATAATGACTAGGAACTTGAGGTGGAGCAACTGCAGGTGGAGTCCTGTATTCCCGTGATCCTTTGCTTAATGTTCCTAGGTAAAATACGAAAACTCCTTAGAAGTAGTTCAGAATCATTTTAAGACAATAAATGTGTTGAATTTCTTTATTTACCAGTTCTTACTGCCTGAGGTGGGGTAGGTGGTTTAGTTGTAGGAGCTGGTCCTACCATAGCAGCACCCAATCCAGAACCAGTAGAAGCAGCACCTAAACTTTGAACGCTACCCTGACTTCCACCACGTTGCTTACTTCTTGGGGTACCACTACTACGTACTCCATGTCCAATATCATCCAAAATTGTATAATCGATACTTTTTCTCACATATTTAATTGGTTTCTCAGGATTAGCAGGTGCAATAATTTTGTATTGACGTACTGTAATTTTATTGGCTGTTAATACTCCGATCTCTCTTCTAGCTACTTTCTCTTTATGTATCATAACTGTCTGAGCAATATGGTTCATTTGGCTTTCCATTTCAGCAAGCTGAGATGTTTGTAAATCCAACAATTGTAAAAAATTATAAGCAAGAGTATTTATTTGATAGGCTACACTAGCCAGTGACTGGGTGGTAAAGTTTTTGGTTTCTTCTAAAGCTATTCTCTTGTTTTCTGCTTGAAAATAGTTTGCTTCGCAATAATCTGCTACTCGTTCAAGATTTATATGATTCTCAGCTAGGTTGCTCCTTCCCTCAGGAATTTCCTGACCAAGAAATGCTGCTAATTCTGCCATAACTTCTGAATCACTGCCTACCCCTGATGATACACAATAAGAACCAGATTCTTAACAGAACCACAGTGGTATTTAAAAAATTGATGAATTTTACTTTATGTTTAATGTAGATGACATCTCAATAATAACATTACTTGCAACGGTGTAATTAACAAAAAAAAAAAAAAAAACAATATAAAATGACATTAGATAAATGATGCACAAAATGCAAAATTCATGACTCTAAAAAATGAGGTTATGTAACTTTCATAAGAAACCCGTGAAAAGTTTCCCAAATAATAGAAATAATATTTGAGATGTCTTTCTGTCAATTTGATGTTATTTGAACAAAGAAATAAGGAATGGCTAAATAATAACTATTTGAAGGGCGGTGCCCCACATGTAGGAAGCAAAATGGAGGAGGAACTTAAATCTAAAGACGAATCATGGAAAATAAATCGTTGATACGATAAATGATATGAAAAAAATAGAAAATGAACTAACGGTACTCAGCCATATCGTAACTACCAGCTACTACACCTTCTTTAATTCATAATTACCAAAGATCTCAGAAACTGATTAAAAAAAGTAAATAATAATTTACGTTACTCGCTCAGTATGAACATGTATTGCACCGAAACATTACTGAACAGTGTTCAGTGGAATTTCTTTGAAGTTAAGAATAAGTGTTCTTGATTTTGATTAAACTTGAAGAACAGACACATTAACATCTACACTCATGTAAAAGACAAAACTATATTAAACGATACGAATGATAAAGAAAGATTGCACAAAAGAGAAAGGAAACCAACTTTTGACGACAATGTTGAAGGAAGGTAAAGATGACAGACACTTCGAGACCTCGTGAGATTCGTATCGATTACCATTTCGAGACATCGAACAATATTACAAAATACAGTAATTAAACCGTAAATTTATAAAGGTAGGCTAGTAAAAGGAATATTCGTTATAATTAGTCCATTAGATATTAACGTTGGAAAATACAAGTAAAGATCTTTGTGAAATTACAACATGTTTGAGTGTACGCGATAACAAGTGGTATACTCCTTTGTGATTGAGTGTTCAGATCGTTCGAAAGCAAGTTCGTAAAAAAGTCGACAACTATTTCGTCGATTAAGGGTATCAGATTCGATTAAAGTACCATTGTTTGTGACAATTCAGAAAATGATACTTTCTGTGTGTATATGCGAAACTAATAAATCATTGCGAAAAAGTTGATTCGCAAGAAGGCAATCATTATCTCTTGTCAGTTTCCTTGACAAATATGTTTAAAATGAATAATCTTTTGAAAGAACTAGATGCTCTAAAAATTACGAGCGACTTTTCCGACGATGGTTTATGGGCAAGATGCATTGATCTTGTTCAGAAGAGTTATGTTCCTGAGAAAACCGTCGGTGCTAGTCGACCATGCGAAGAAGACGATTTCAGAGAGTATAAACAAGTTATAGACAGAAATTTGCAAAATATCAAATCTATCCTTCAGCATATCATTCACAGTCGTAATGGAGGACATGTGCAAATAGATTTAAATGCAGCAGTAGTAAAAACCTTTACTATCAACTTGTTATTACTTATTGGAGAACAACATGAAAAAAATGTTTGGAACACTATAGAGTCTGTATCTATCTCCAAAGAATTAATCAACGGAATCTTAGAATTACATAGACATCAAGTCATTTCACAATTTTTAATGGAACAAAATAACTTTACCACAGTATTGTTAACACTAAGGCCTAAGTTATTAAAAGATACTTGGAAATCTTATCCAGCAGCCCTAGCTTGTTATAAATGGATCTTATATCAAATTGAGGTTTGTAGATAAAATTAAAAGAACAAATTACAAATTTCATTGTACGTTAAAATATATACTTTTTTTTTAGAAACCAGGTTTATACAATCATATTAACGACGTGCTTCCAACAGCTTTAATAATTGTTGATGATTATGTGCCACAAAATGTTGTAGTTGGTCTTGAATGTTTACATCAAATTATTCAACATTCTCATTTGGTAAGGATTTCTATCAAATTTCAGTTATTATTTTGTTCAGTCATATAAGTTACTAATTCCAAATTTGAATATTTAGAAAAAAGGATTAATTGACACAGGGTATGCCAAAGTAATTTTCCATGCTTTAGAGTGTTTAACTCATCGAAGAGAAGCCAAATATGTAATTTTGGTATATTTATGCTTAACAAGTTTGTTAGCTACCATTGAACATTGGGATAATACGTTAAATGTGTTTGAAGTAAGTTTGAAAAATTAACATAAGATATTAATATAAGCACAAATGTGATAATATTGTATATTATTGCAGTGGACAAAGCGGGATGATATTCTAGCTGTTTTGCTAGATAATATGGAATTTGAACAAAATGTAGAATTGAGACGTGTGTATATGTTGAGTTTACCTCAACTTTTGACTAATATTGGTTGTGCCAAGTGGTGTGAAAGATTAACAAGAATACTTTCTGAATATTGTGAGCATCATACAGATTTAAAAACATTAAAAGCAACATTGGAGGTAAATATTCTTACATGTAATTTATCATTACTTCATTATCTTTATTATAAATTTAATATAATTTTTTTAGACTGCAAAAACCTTCCTATTGATGTTTCATCTTCGAGTGGCAGCTCATTGTGTACCTCTGTACACTGCCTTCTTAAAATTGCATTTTGATTTAACAAAAACTCCAGTATTTGACAAAGAAATAATACAGAATTTAGAGGACTGTATTTGTTTATTATATAAATTATCTCCAAATGTAGGTTGTGCAATTATGAATGATGATCGAATGCGTTCAGTGATTAAAAATAGTCTGCAAGTAGTTTGTTTAGGTGATACTAAATATTTTCAATAAACAAAATATGTAAACCTGATTTAGAATCTAACATAATAAATCATGGGCTACATTATCTAAGAAAAGAAAATGTTATTTTTTGTAGTTTCGTAGAGTACAGTATGATAAAATATAATGAAAAGTACTTAGATGTTTTATGTTGTGATTTAAAAAATAAATGTATAATACTTTGTATTGTAAAATAGAGATTTTTGTTAGAAATTTTGTTTTCTTTAAACTACCCTTATACCTTGTGGTTAAAATAATATTATTATTAAAGTAAAAAATATTGCATAATAATAAGAAGAAGAAGATATTTATTTAATTGTGCAATTAGCAATGAAACAAGTTTCTGATATATTCTTATGTGTATAATCAGTGTTAAGAATGAAGCAAGATAAATTGTTTTGCTCCTATCAGAAGTGCACATTATAATATAGTTAACTCTTTGTGTTGTTTATTTAAAGTTTTGTGTATATATTATAGTGTATAATAGTAGAAAAGATACTAATTGATAAAAAGAAGATATAAAAGTCATATTAGATAAGGAATTCAATCATCTATAAAATTAGAATTTCTTTGTTCTTCATAATAACATAAATAATAATTATTTTATATTTGGAAGAAAATTTAAAAAAAAGTTGAAAAAGTTCGACTTTGAACTAAAAGATAAAAGGAGTAGTAAAAAGATACATATAAACGTGAATAACAGTCCATATATGTACAAAGATATTTACTCTTTTTATTTTTCCATTTAAGATAGATATTGTATTAAGTAGTTCATCACAAGTTAGAATAATCAGTTTGTGTTTAATATTGGCAGACAATATGTCTCCGTTCTTAATTGTAATATTACTTTTATTAATAGTGTATAAAATTTATGAATTCATCATTTCTATACCACCAAATGTGCCACCATGTAAGTTTTATTAAATTAAAATTATTAAAATTTTCATTTATAGATAATTGTAAAATCTTATTATTTTTAAGTTGTTTCTTTTGTCGTTTCTTCACTGTAATTTAAACACTTTATTAATATAGGTATTCCACGATTACCGATAGTAGGATCTTATTGGCATTTATTATGGTATAATTACAAATATCCCTTTAAAGCTATTGCATATTATGCAAATAAACTACAGTCTAAAGTTGTTACATGTTATTTCGGTCCGTACATAGCTGTTATCGCGAATGATTATAAAAGTGTTAAAGAAATATTATCAAGAGACGATTTTGATGGGAGGGTGACTACCATAGACGCTATCTTAGCAAGAGCATTTGGAAAACAATTAGGTATTTGTAGATGAAAGAAATTTAATATATCTATTAAAAATGTGTGCGAAAAATTGTTTTACATTTTAAATTTAAACGCGCAATTCTAGGCATTTTTTTCACCGATGGTTTATTTTGGCAAGAGCAAAGAAGATTCGCTCTCCGAAATATGAGAGATTTTGGATTTGGTAGAAGACATGAAAAATATGAAACGAACGCGATGGCAGAAATTGCGATTCTAGTTGACATGTTGAAATGTGGTCCTATTAACGACAAAGAAAAGGTATTTTAAAACTTGGTAAAAATGATTAGAAAATTATAAGATAATTACCGAATAATATCAATTCATTTATTAGACATATTTACGAAACGGTTCTGCATGTTTTCCGGATGTTCTGTATCCATATGTAGCGAATAGTATATGGGATATTATGTTCGGCGAAAGATTCGATCGTTCGGACTATCATAAATTAAAATATTTTTGTGAATGCGCTATGATGTTTCAAAGAGCAGCTGATACTACTGGAGGGGCACTATTCCAATTCTGGTATTTGAAGTATTTTGGAAACATGTTTGGGTTTTCAAATATGATGAAAGGAAATTATCGTATGATAGACTTTATTATGGTATATTTTACTTCTCCATTTTAATTTTTAATTTACTTAACTTTAATACACTAAATACCTATGAAAATGACACAACAATTATAGGAACGTTTAAACAATGAAAAGTATTCAGATAATGATTATGACAGAAGTTTAGTAGACCGATATTTAAAAATTTTGAATGAAGACTGCGATGGAAGACCTAGTTTTTCTGACAAACAACTTATTATGACCCTTGTGGATTTCATCTTTCCAGCGGTATCTGCGGTACCAAGTGTCCTTGTACACGCAATCAAACTTGTAATGCATAATCCGAGAGTACAGAAAAAGGTACAAGAGGAAATTGACAGAATAGTTGGAACCGGAAGACTCGTTACATGGGACGATAGAAAGAAGTATAATCTACATGATATTTTTGTTATAAAATATCCTGGAATTTTTTTTTAATTAAAAAACTGTAAATATTTTAGTTTACCGTATACTGAAGCGACTATACGCGAAGCACTTAGATGCGAAACCTTGACTCCGTTTTCTGTGTTTCATAAAGCAGTAAAAGATACTACTCTTAATGGTTACAATGTCCCTGAGAATACAATAATTATCGCAAATTTATCAGCATTAAATAATGACCCCGATTTTTGGGGTGATCCCGAAAAATTTAGACCTGAAAGGTTTCTCAATGAAAATGGCCAATTAAGCAAAGATTTCACCTTTCCTTTTGGATTTGGTACGTAAAATATTTTAAACAATATTTAAACAATAACTACAAAACAATAATATCTTTTTCTTTTTATAAATTAGGGCATCGTGTGTGTGCGGGTGAAACTTATTCAAGATATACTATGTTCGCGGCATTCGCTGCATTGATGCAGAACTTTAATTTTTCGTTTATAGACGGAGAACCGACGGGTCTTGAAGATAAGTTTCCAGGTTTAATTATAACTCCAAAAGAAACATGGATTCGAGTGGAAACACGTTATACTTAAGCGATAAATTATATATCTTTTTATTTCTTTATAATTGTTTCATAAATGTATATAAATATTTTTTTAAATAATCTTTTGTATAAATAGCTATCACAATATTTTACAACTAATAATATTCTCATTATGTCTAATCTTATTGCCTGATGCCATTTTTATTACAGTTTAAATACAAATACAAAACAAATTGTCAGGAATAAATATAAAGTATATATGCAATTTATATATCATAAATTTATTTTAGAATTTCAGATAGACAAAGAGGGAAATTACATTACATTAAATAAACACAATTAATATACAAAGGTTTTTACCACAGAGTTGGATATAACTGAGTATTATATCATTGATTATACCATATCTAGTAGTCTAAAAAGTAGTCAATTCTTTTTAGAATATTCAGTGTCCATAAAATAAGAACTTTAGATATAGGTATTGCAACTCTGAAGAAGATAGGGAAGATGCGCTTAATCTATGTGCAATAAAAATTATGAACTTACTTATGTATATACATCTTAAAGTTCATCTTCACAAATTTGTCATTCTCTTTTTTTCTCTTTTATACAGAATGTTTGTTAATTTTCTGATTTTCTGGCATTAAAAGCAAATATGAATCAATTATTAAAACCCAGTATTTATATAATGTATTATGATATTAATTAATAAAAATTTTTGTTATCTAGTTTACTATACATGTTAATGAATTTCAAAAATGCAACAGTGGTATTGCTTAAAAATAAAGACGTTTACATACAATCAATTTTGCCAATAGCAAAATATTGGTTTTTAGTACAGTACAGAAGTACTGTTGCTCTACATGTATATTTTAAAATTTTTTATTACTATTGTAAATGTACATACAATTCTGCAAAACTATTACATAATTAACTTCTTGTATACAAAAGATTCCTTAAGTGGTATGAAATCATATTGTACATAGCTCCACGTGTATATTTAAGTTATCAATTAGGATTTAATTTTACAATGCTGCAATAACACTTTATTTCATATAATTTACCATATGAAATACACTTATTCTCTGTGTATCAACACATATATTGCTAAACACATTAAGACAAAATATTTAATTTTGGGATATTCATTCATGTATATTGTAATCATTCCTACATATGGTAAGAAACCCCTTGCTCTACCAACAACATCCTCGTGTGTCAACCATAATTGACCACGTGCATATAAACCTCTATCATCAACAGAATTGTTATCACCCTTTGTTAGAAATTTAATAGTATCATTTGCATCACCCCTAGAATATATTAATTATTGTTTAATAATTTATATCTCTTAATCCTTTCAGTACAAAGATTTAAAAGATACTTACTTTTCATGTAGTTTAAGTACTCTGTGCACAATTGGTATATCTCTACCTTCAATTTTGAAAACAACAATTTCTCCTACTCTGACTGGTTCATCGTGATAATTAGTTAAGAATAATAAATCTCCCCTATGAAATGCTGGTTCCATACTACCACTATAACATTAAAATTTAGATGCATAAGAATATAATATCGAAATTAAAATATTGAAACATTAAGGTACATCTAAATTACATATATAAAATATTTTTATAAAATATTATATACTTCAAATATCTTATAATTCTAAAATAATTCAAACACTGTAAATAACTTCAAAATGTTGTACTTTATTGAGAGAAACATGGCCATAAATATCCAATAAAACGAGTTCATATACAAAATTTAATAGAAAATCGATAATATATTTTAAAAATAAATTTATTCGCGTGAAAGATCTGTCTAATAAAACTATTAGGTTAAGTATTCAAATACCTGAGAACTACCACAATTGGACTTTCACTACTTGTTACGACCATCAGACCTTTCCAAATCATTAAGGCAGATGAAACAATCATACCAAAACTTAACATTTGATACAGGAACTGTAAAAAATATTGAAAATAGTTTATAACTTTACAACTTTTACAAAAGTATTTCTCCCGGGCCGCCATATGTACCCGCTTGTAAAAATCTACAATAAACTTAGGTTAAAGTTTATTCATTTACCTGACGTTTATTCATTCGTCGCATATCGTCAAATATTGATTGCAACATGATTATAACCGTTCTTTATAAGAATCACGATGTAAGCAGAACAATTACAACTCTAATTTCAATTCTGTTTAAACACAACCGGTAACTCCGCGTATTACCACGTCACATAAACAATGGACAAGGAACGCCGGAACAAGCGGAATAATCCAAATGGATTAGTCCACATTTAGTGAACGACGGAACGCGCGCCGATACTTTTGAACGGAATATTTCGATTGACTATTTTGGATATTAAACAGTGTATTTTTAGATATCAGTGTTCAAATATCGTATTAAATGAATCAGCTCGTTTTAAAGTTACTATAAAATCGTAGTTTTGTAAATTTGTTCATCATGTGTATATAATTATTCAATAATCCGCCAATCGTGTTCTCGGCGTCCATAGTGCTTTAGAGAAGACATGTTAATTTTGATGCAACTTCGTTAGGAAGATTTTTCACCAGTGATGGAAATATTAATAACTACATAAAACAGTGCAAAGGTACATATATGCTTAAATATTTCTTTTTCTTTTAACGACAGATTATTTATTTATTCAAAATAGGGACAAAAATTTTAATCCAAAATTTATGCGAATTACTTCGTAATTTACGTACTTTATACTTCGTAAAATCTGACATGTTTATGAATTACCATAAGCAGATGCATATTAAATGCATAACAAAAATGCAATATTTGAACGAATGTGAAAACATTTAATTTATCCTTAAAATTTGTCACCTTTTGTTAAATCGTCAGATTTAAATCGAGCAACAAATATTTCTGGCGCCATATTGACTTCTGCGTCGATCTTTTGAAATTTGTGACGACTGCGCATAAGATCTTCGTTAATAGTATTAAGCTTTTGCACATTTGTAACAAAATTAATTTTTTTAATCGAGTCACCGTGATTTTCATCGTCAAAATACCATTGTGAAACCATTTCTTTTAATGGCTGCAAATGGTTCACGTTTTCTTGGACCTTCTCTAGTTCCTCCTTGCAAAGTCGTTCGACTTCCATCAATTTCTGTTCGTAGGCATTTGCAACCATTTTCCATCGAGCGTTATAACGTTTCTCCGCTTGATTAAACGAGTACTCGTCTTGATACTTGGCCAATCTTTTCTCATATTCAAGTATAGTCAATTCCCTAAACGTATCCTCAGAGGTGATATCTAAAACATCTCCTATATCATAAATTAATTGATCCATTGAACATTTCGAAATGCTTTACATTTTATCTTCTGAGAAAGATTACCCAAATTGTTAGATAACGGTGATTCCGCAGCATATGCTGCCGCAGCTGCACGTGCAGCTGCAGTTGCTTCTTCCAGGGCCAATACATCATCTTTTTCGCGTAAGAATTGTAACTCTTCTCTTTCCTTCTTCCAAAGATCTATTTCCCTTCCCAGTTCCTCCTTTAAATTTCTCATTACTTCACTGAGCGACTCTATGCGTTCTCGAAGAATACAGCTATTGGTTACGAAAGTTATTCAATACTACGCGTGTTGTTTTTTTCTTTAATTAAAAAAGGTATTGACATAGCGTATACTTTAAATCTTTATCGTCTTGATCATCTTCTACTGACTGTGCACCCTCTAAAATCATCGACGAATCTTCTGGCTGTTCAAGAACAGCTGATAATTTGTCTAACGAATCATCATTTTCAGAAGTAGGATCATAGTTTGGCAGCACATTTCTTAAATCCAATGTTAAATCGGTGTCCCTTTGTTCTTCCTTCCCCTGTTCTTCATGCAATGATTCTTTGCACTGATTATCGATATTTTGAATACTGTCGGTATTGCTTGAACAATCTGTTGAAATTTCTGTCGATGACGCATGTTCGTTTTCCATCTATGATATTTTCTTCGACGTTCATAAAAATTAGCGGTTAGACAAACTTTTTAAACAAACATGAACTATTAAAAAATTGGATCGAGTGAAGTTATTTCAGTTTACATATTTCATTTTATGATATGACATTGTTTTTTCACTGTGTTTCCTTAAATCACTATTCCTAAGTATGTAATTTTATTTATGTTTATAAACATCGTACATTAGCAATAGTAGTTATCGAAGGTGAAATGATTATTTATTATCATTATACTTTATATATAAGAGGGTCGATAAAAGCGTTTACAGTTGTTTGTACGTTTTTCCTTCGAAGTGTATAATATTTATCTGTGATGTTTCCTTTTAAAAGTGAATTAGCAAATTCTGTAAGACATGGGTATGTGTACTATATTGAATTTTTGATACAGGTTGACGGTAGTGAGTGACCTCTTCTACCATCGGTATAATGTTAGTTTAGTAGGTTATTATTGATTTCTCTCTGTTGAAGTCAAATATTTAAAGAAATCAATGATTTTTCTGTAATAATAACATAGAAGTTGAAAGTTTGTTGATTATAAACAATCTGAATAGACGAAGTTATTTTTTATTTAACAGAATCAACCTTCTGCTCTACATGCATGATAGTTACATTGTCATAGGTTATGTGCATTGCTATTAATGCTAATGATAAACGCACGAAAACGTATTTATCGAAATACGTTCCAAAGTGTTGATTTCTGTGTTAGAGTCTTATTTCTTTGAATTAGTGTCTGAAATTATATTTCCTGCAATACGATGACAGAAAGAGGTTAATTAGAACTTGAATTTAAAAAGATTTATGCGGACTTTTCTTAGTCTAAAGTTCTTAACTAACTAGAAATCATGTTCTCATATCTCCGGTCATTAGTGTACTGGTATTTCAGACCCATTATAAAATGGTTATTACGGCATACAACACAAATGTGTGAACTTCAAAGAATATGTTATGGAGAACTACCTGGAGCACCAAGAACACTAGCTATAGAGGAATCTCTTAAATTATCTAGAAATCCTAACATTAAAACTCTTATAGGCTACTTGAATGATTTTGCTGATCAACGTGCACTCAAGGGAAAAACGAGACATAAAATTTTCAAAGAAGCAATTGCAACTGTGTTGGTGACTAAGAAAGTAAATCCAACAGCTCATCCTGACTTTGCCAAATCATTTGGTAAATGTATACTGTTAATTTGGGGCTATAGACAACTTTGTGTGGAATGTGAAGAACTTAGGAAAACACCTTATGATGCTGACAATCTATTGCATGAATTCTCGTTATTAAACATATGGAATCTTTTGATGCCTGATGAGTGTTTAGATGCTAGAGTTACCAAACAATGGCAACACATTGGCTTTCAGGGTGATGACCCAAAAACTGATTTCCGTGGAATGGGAATTTTGGGATTAGAAAATCTACTTCATTTTGCTAAAGAATACCCTAGTGCTGCAAGACACGTATTATCACATTCAACACATCCACGTTATGGTTATGCATTTGCCATAGTTGGAATAAATTTAACAAGTATGGCTCTAAGATTATTAAAAGATGGAAGTGCCAAGCCTTTTATTTATAGTTTCTCAAAGGACTTTCCAACAATTCGTGCATTTCATTCCTTTTATTGCTATCTTTTCTATAAATTCGATAGTTTTTGGATTGATTCAAAACCAAGTAATATGATGGAATTTTCATCCATACAAGAAAAATTTGAAAATAGTATCAGAATAGCACTAGCTAACCCATCAACGGTCTTTAAGATAAATATATCAGTAGATAATGTTTAAAATAGATACAATATTTTCTGTTGGTAAGACTAAAAATATCACAGAGAATAAACATAATTTTATTATTGCAATGCACAAAACTACTTTTTGTAATGTATGCAGCACAGTGTCATGTGAGTGAATAGAACAGCATTATTATAAACTATGAAGAATGTAAGACATAAAACAAAAGATGATTATTGTGAAGTGATTAAGTTACAGAAAGCTACAAAGAATCTCGATACATTTGATATATTTATACTTTATTTTTCTTCTGGCAATAAAGCTAATAAGGGAAATGTGTGTGTTACCTAATGAATGTGGAAGGGTTCACATTCTAATAAAATCATTTATTTAACAATAAATAAGTTAAAGTACAAGGTTTATCCAAATAAATATATTACTCTCAATATGTTTTTATTTAATTTTTAAATAGGTGTATGTAAATATAAAATACTTTGTATATTAATTCAGATGTTTTTTCTTAAGAGAAAAATGTCATATCCAGCAGATATATTATTATTATGCATACAACAATAACAGTTTTAATTGAAAAATATTTATTGTAAATCATAAAAAAACATCTCTGTTAAAAAAAGGTTATACTTGCAGTAATTATTAAACACATTTTACATAAAAAATAAGAAATACAATTGTTAGAAATAGAATATAACTATTTGTATTTTTTTAGAACATCTACATTATGGATACTGATCAAATATATAAAATTATGAATGTAAAATATCACGTGACTTGTAATATATAAAAATAAGAAATTGATTTTAATTAAAAATTTTATTTATCTTGGGTGTATAAATTGTGCTTTGTACAAGATTATAAATACTACTGATAGCTTGATACAGTACCCATAATATAGTCTTTGGTACACGAATATTTAGTCTTTCTTTTGTGCCATTTCGGTTTTACGCCTGAACTTAGAAGCTACAGAAATTATAATGAATACACCAGTCGTTATGCTGCCGAGTTTCATTACCCACGGATTTTCATGAAGAAAATTTGCAATCATTTGTACAAGGTCATCGCTAAAAGTAAAATTATGTTCGTAGTCATAATTGTACTGCACTAATTGATCGTGCATAGAAGGCTGAATTTACTAACAAATGTGTTCAAACTTACAATGGGCTTTGCGGCACAGGGACGGTTTCAGCACGTGCGTTTCTGTACCATTCTTTTACAAATGATACGAAAGAATTAACGTCGTATTTTGGAATTTGATAACGATACATTTTACCATGTCTGAAACTACAAGTACAAAATAAATTATGTCAAGCATTATAAGATTGTAGCATGTTATTAATCCTATTTATTATCACAGCATATGCTGTACTTTCTCTTTACTTACAATATAAATGTAGGAGTTTCACGAACATTAAATCTTCTGGCTGTAGATGCTCCAGTTGTACTTTTATCTATACGTGCCACATTAATCTTTTGCTTTAGTTTTGCACCTACAGCTTCCAATCTTGCAATCATTCTAACACATTCTACACAGTCTACGCTATAACTGTTTTTTACAGAATATTTATTAGATATTCATAAAATAAGATACGTAAATCAAAATGTAAAATCAAGACTTACAACATAACAAACCAATCCCCAGTTGTAGCTCCACTACTTGCTTGGGTTAAATGTTCAAATGTATCGTCTGTTAATTCTTTCACCGTAGGTTCCTTGTTTTCAATAAACATAGTTGAAATTAATTCATTATTTGGGGGTCCTATAAAAAATGTAAATTAATAAAAGTATCTTTTTCTTAAAACATATTTTCATAGATGTTGAAATTTATACCATCATAAAGTAAAGGCATTCCATGTCTAAAGAACAAAAGTGCTGGTTCTTTAGTAGCACTATAAAGGCTAAACAACTGACTGTTTACAGCTTTTACAACCCAAGCAGACAAAGAATTCACAAGATCTTCTCTTAAGTGTACCATGTCATTTTCAAAGTTATCACATGTGGGACAATTCTTGTTTGCTATAAACATTACATACATATTAAAATTAATAAAATTTGGAGTATTTTACATAGGCAAATTATTAATCTCTGGATGTATTATAGTTTATATAATGTAAAATAAAAGGAAAAAAAGTTTGAAATAAATAATAATTTTCACTCGGTAGGTTATGCCATGATTTTCTGCAATGAGTGAAATTTATGGAATTTTTTAATAAAAGAATAATTTTCTTCTTTTTTTATAAATATATTTAACATTAACATATAGTATTTCAAAAATTTTTGCAACTAGGCAAAAGATAAAATGTATGTAAATATGAATTAAAACTCACTAAAAAGCACAATCACATATTTCTCAGTATTTATTAGATTTATAAGCTCATCGTCGCTTACTGTTTCGAGACCAGCAGAGTGAACGTCAATAAAATTACATATCAAGATGAAAAATATTATTCGTAACATTTCGTATTGAATTAGACCAACAATATTGTATGGAATATTTTCATCGGCTACTTCTCCACGTCAAAGAGGTTAACATTCCAGTTCTATTTTATCTTATTTTATTTTACTCTGGTGGAACTGCCTGAAATTACAGAAAATTAATTTATTTTTTATACTTTTGTTAGTAGTCCAACGTTAAGATTAAGTTGATTATTTTGTCACGTATATTATTTCCATTGGTTTATAGAATCTTTATATTGTTATAATTTTGTATCTAGCAAGAGTTTACAATACTTGGTATTCAAAAGTAGGGGAAAGATTTTATTAAACGATATTTCAATTTATGTTATTATAAATAGAAATTCCTAGAATAAAATTCTCAAGATAAAATTTAAAGTCTATAATAATATTTATTTGCACATTATTTAAATCCTCGTTGGCATTTTTTAAAACACGTATCATCGTCGATAAATTTTTTAATGCACTTTTTTTAATTTAAAATGTAATCGCTTGTTTCTTGTATCGCCGACAAACATTTATGTACACACGTTTGTAAATTCCTTTTTGTGTGCGGTATAACAGTGAAGTAAACGCAAGAAGTATCTTTTAGCAGGATAACATGCTTTGCGTGTTCATGTGTCTACCCTGAAAAAGTAATAGCACATCTAGTAAACAGAACAGCTGGTTTCATGTAAATTTTACGTTTCGTGTAAATTTAAGCTGTTACTACAGCTTGATTTACCGTAACTTAAATGAAACCCACGTACTATTTCTTAGTGCAAATCGTTTCAGTTGATATTTCATACTCGTGTAACACTTTGCGTAACAATTTATAAATAACAACGAATTTAAACAAACAAATTTAACAACATATCTTTATTTACATGTTATATATAATTAAAAACGCGATAACGTTTTTGCTCATCCAATTATCTTCCATTAGTTAACAAACAGTCGATAATTTGATAGGGTAAAAGGCCAGTGACATTCGATAATTACTTCTAATCGCAACGCGCAATGCTTGTTAAAATATACATTCACTTTTCGACATGTGGGCAGCATGCAATCTACTAAAACAAACACGATGCGGAACTGCATAAATAGAAGCTAGAAGTAAATAACGAAATTTGCTCTGATTGACAGCCAAAACAAATTAATAATCAAAATATTTGATAACCGCCAATTGATAATTTTGGCAAATTTAAATTTGACTCGACTCTGCTCTCATTCTCGTCACATTATTATCTCTCGTCGAATTATTATTTTTCGGGTGATCGTGTTTAAATATTGCTTCTCTTTCCTTTTTTTCCTTTTTTTCATTTTTTTTTTTTTCTGTTCGTGCATGTGGCAGCTTGTAAACATTGGTAATTTCATTGCAAATTGGGGTGCTACCACGAACCTTCACGGCCCTGGTCACGAGCCAGCAGTCGAAGGTCGAGTGGTATAGTGGTAGATGGTAACGACGTAAATCGTGACGCATATAGTAACGGCATACACCGAGGGGGATGTGCTGGTATGTGGAGAATCGACGTCGACAAGCAGCACAGGGTGGCTGACTTGGTGGAAGCAACGTCGGGGAGGATTCACGGGGTGGTTGGCAGTCGCGTGCTCTCATCGTCAGGTGAGCAGCTTTTGTATGGATGTAATCGGTTTACCAAGTATTTTTGCGAGTTGTTGTTACCTGCATCGGGATCGAGTCTCGTTTCCGTGACACGCAAAACTTCTGCATCATCGTGAGTATTAAATTCAATATTACCTTTCGCGAAATAGCGTTGCACGAGCTTGTAGAAGGGAAGAATGTTAGAGCTTCGTTCTGATTCTAATTGAGGACAACGTGCACTTTACCGAATCGATGGACATCTCTTGAACATTTAAAAAGTTACGACGTACAACATAATCCAGGACAATTATTTGCAAGCTATTTAGATCGTGTCAAATATTTCAAAAGAACACGAGGCAGGATATTTCTACCGATCTGACATGGTCGTTTAATGTTCCAACTATAAATTCTAATAATTATTTCAAGTGGTACATATCTTTTCCAACGATCAAGAGATTTTTTCTCACTCGTGAACGAACTCGATGTTTTTATTCGGAGCTATTTAACTTTTTAGCGGTTATCCCGAATCGAATGTATGTTTACGCTGTATTTAATTCAGGAGAAAGAGAGAAACGATTTTGTGGTATATATTTGAAAGTAAAATGTTCTGCGTTGCAGAAAGCAACAGTTGTATGTACCTACATTGTTAATGATTTCGCTCTTGAAAAAACTAAAAATTGCAATTTATTCTTCCAGAGCTTAACGTTAATTTGAAAAATCATTACGCTCATTTAAATGTGAGAATTATTGTAATTTTCTTATCGAAATGTTCATTAAGTTCGAAAAATTCAAGCGTCATAACGACGATCATTTTTTCGTTATCGAAGGAAATTTTATATGTATTTTCTATTAGGGTAATTTTTTTTAAACCAAGTGATTTTATTACGCAGACATATTCTAAAGTTCTTTCATGTTACCAGTTGTTTGCATTGCGCGCATCTCGAATATGTTACGAAAATAATTTCACATTTTAAATATTTTTAACGTTTACGTACTTTCATATTCTGCGAATTTCTATTAATTTTTCCAGCATATTTCGGATACAAAAATTTGATTAAATAAATGAGAAATTTTATTAATATTTACGATGAGTAGTAATAATTACACTCTGAAAATCAACGGTTCTTCCTCTGGTTCACTAATCATTCCGATAAAATGAGGACTACGTGAAATTTAAAATATATATTTACCCTCTCTTCATTTTCTCTTTTACAGAGAGATAAATTAAAGTCGTTATTACCCAACGTATTTTCCTATGCGATGAGTATATTTTGCGGTATGTTGAAGAATGAAGTGAACGGGTTCTTTGTACTAACTGCGAGATAAATTTTCGCCACGTAGAGCCACGCAGAAATTCAACTCCCGAAATGTTGCATCGCATATACATTACCTTTCATGCATTGTTTGCTGTACATCGCTTTACATTTTCACATCGGTAACTTCGTAGTTCATCTCGAATCTTTGGATATCTCCGGAATTTGGAGGAGTGGAATCTGTTATTCTTGGAATCTGTCCATTGTATTTTCACTTACAAGAGTTTCCTCTTATTTGCCATTTGTTTCCTCTATTATTCTCTGTCATTTAAATATGTTGCCTGCAGTTTCTATCCTTGGCATTTATTTCTAGACATTTATGTCATTCTTCCTTGTTAAAACATTTTTCTTATAAACGTCCCGCAACTTTTTCCTATACCTTTGTATTATTGAAGTCCTTCTAACAATGGTATTTTGTTTATTACCAAAGTCTCGTGTTCGTTACCTCCAGGTCGCTCTTCTTTCGTTATGGAAATTCATTTTGCACTGTCAACTGCCAAAAACATCCATATTAATGACGCCAGGAATAATTCCGAAAGGAGTGACCAATAATGACCACTCTTTCATTGATTACTGCGTATAGACGCTATACCTAGGGTCGAAGGAACCAGAAGGAACACTTCAAGTAGTCTCCAGGAACGATTTTATATAAATTGACTACTAGTGTGACCGCTGATTGGCCACAGGGTGGACGTCGTCCATAAATAATCGACCAAAGGGCAGTTGGTGTAGTATAGGCTAGTCTCCAACGCTTGGTAGCCGTAAAAATCGAAGACAAATGGGTGGATTCGTACCTTAGTCGCCTATTTTTATACGTAAAATTAGGTGAGCGATGTTTAACCCTTTGCACTCGACGATTTTTTGGCTAGAGAAGAGTAGAAAATCAAAGATTCTCTATCAAAAAATTGACGATACTTTTTTGAGCAGTAAATAAAGAATTTTATAATAATAGAATTGTAGAATTATTTGATTTCGATACCTTGTACACTGTTACATTACATTAAATTTGATATATTAATTAATATCTATTTTCCAAATTTGATGAAATGGTGACTGAGGGTCACCTCTCGAGTGCAAAGGGTTAACATGTAATAGCACCTAATTAACGCCAATTGTCATACTATCTTCGCCTTCTATTCGATTAGTTTCTAATAAAGTACATATGTACTTACAATAGTGTAATTCTCACCGGTTTTGAATTATGATTCACGTTCAAAATGTACACTGATTCTTGCAGATATTCAATTACTATTAATAAATTAATAAATCGATAAACGAGTTCTAATAACTAGTAAATGAATCGGACGTAAAATTTTATACGTTCGAATTTTTCGGCAGGCAAATTCAGAGAGAAAATAAAGCTCGAATAGCAAATGTATCGATACGTTGCACATTAGAATCTGTTATTTCACTTGGACGCAGGAAAAATGTGGAGGGTTAAATAATTTTAGGTGATGAGAATTCCGATTATTTCATAGACGTCGTGTTCTCTCGAAGAGGAATAATGCTTTGTTAAATCGATAGCGGATGATAACGAAACCAAATGCTTTGTCATGCGACACAACGTGCGTTTCAAAGTTATTATCCTCTATATCATATGAATCCTTTCATTTGTCAACTCGAAACTGAATACCTTTCAACGTTTATCACCAGAAATTAATTTAATTTTCGATCATTCGAGTATCATTAAAAAATCCCAAGTAATTGGAATGTAGCTTGATCATTTGCTAGTTACGAAGACATCGTCATAGTTTTAACCGCATTAATTCGCCGGGAATATGGAAAGCATTACGAAGAAATTCAAGCAAGAGAACTCCACTCATTTACTAACTACTTCTGTGCAACATCCATTTGATTTTCAGAGTATCCGCTCACGTAGCACGTGTTCCCTTGCACGCGATGCTCATGATTTGTTCGTCCTTTTATTAAGAAGAAGACACCGGGACCGAGATGGCGCAGGATATCCCGGAGACGACGTACGTACCGGAAGTCGTGGAGGATGCGAGAAAGGAACGAGAACGGCGAGCTGTTCAAGAGGGAACGGTCTCGTGGAGACGACGAAAGGAGGAGTTGCAACGTCAAAAGCACCGCGAACAACGTGAAGTATGCGTCGTAAATGACTGTTATGTCGACTGGAGCATCGTTAGAGTCTCTGCCTTTTGCTGACCACGAGCCTTTTTAACTTTATTTCGTTTGTCGTCGTTGTCGCTGATCGGATAGTGATCAATGTCGGTCCTCGTATCGGCAACGGCTCTCGCTGTACCTCCGTTCTTGCCTTCCTTCGAAAGCTAGAAAATAACCGCGGAGATTTACGAGACCGTGTAAAAGATATCTCAGGCTAGAATGGGACTTCAAGTGGTCCTGTTGTTGCTTAAGTGTGTACGAAACTTTATACGATAGTGGTAGTAAACAGTATCCGGAATTGTATATGAAACACAGAGTCGTCGTAGGTTATCTGGCGAAAGTATGCAGTTGATGACTGAAATATTTCTCATTCTCTCCGAGTTGTAAATTTTGTCAACAGAGATCGATGTGTAGCTTAACGGGAATGATTTATAGCAGAACGTTTCATCGAAAGGTACTAAAATTTTCAGTAAAGTGGTTCACACTTCGTCGCAATTCAGATCACGTTGCAATTGAAATTTCATTTTCTTCAACGGGATTTACGTAGCGCGCGAATGCGGCAGCAATTAGTTGAGCGTAATTTGTATAAACCGTATCATTAGTAGCTGCGCTGTAATTACTGCATGTATTTGCCATGGTAGTTGTAAGAAATATTTCACTAACGAGCGCAAACGTTTCCACGCATTTAATGGAACTCGCATGTACCTTTAGTTATTGTTAGTTTTTTTATCCATCATCCATTTTTATCCATCATTTTTAATGATATCCAATGTACACAGATTATATACTTTCCGCTACGATGAATCACGAGCGGTTAAATAGTGTTTAAGATGACACACCGACCTCTTGTACCCAATCGCAAAGAGGGATAATTTATTACCCTTAAAGACGGTAGTTAATAATTTCTTAATTGCAGTCTTAAATTTTCCTGGATTTTCTTTGGAGTTTGTCAAAAAAGAGAAAAAAAGGAAAATAGGGAAAATTAAAATAAAGGTGTTCCGATTTATCAATGCGGCCTTAAATTTTTTAATTTCAGTCTACGAACTGGTGTACGTTTTAGGAGGACGCAATTTCCCTTTAAAAAGGTTGTAAATATCCCTTTTATATGGAAACGTCAGGGATGGGTATTATCAGAGCAGGTTCGAGTTTTCTTTTTACCATAGAGAACAATTTCTGGTAGAAGATTCATATGTGTAGCGGCAACTCCGCAGAATGCAATAAAAGATTAAAATATTCAGGACCGTAAAGTGCATCCGAATTACTTATCGCAGCGGAGCAACGCTGGATTAAGAATAGTCGAATATTAGCATACGACAGAAACTGTGCGAAGAAATTTTTCTTCACGCAATAATCATAAACGGATGCATTCGTCTGTAAATTACAGCGATGAACGATAATTCAAAATCAGCGACCCGATTCTAGAATTAAAAACCACGTTTTGTTGCGATTTCTACGGAACGAATTATTTCACGTACTAATGAAAATGTTTCACCAAAAAACCAAGTTAAAATACAGAAGGGTTTATATTATTTTTGCTTTAAACAACATTTGCATCGCATAAATTTTCTCCCGCGTAATCACATTTCTCAATACCGAGTTTTATATGGGAAAATGATTACAAAATGTTATGTTATATCAAGTATTAAAATTGCTTGAATACTTTACATTACAATCTCTTTTAATGCCGTTCTCGTTTGAAAGTACGTCGGATTTAAAATTTTCCATTTGCAGAAGCACCTTATGAAAATGTTAAGTTAGTTGCAAGCCCGTTTCGAGAAAAGTTATTACCTCGTAAAGTTTTGCCGGAAGAATATTGATATCCACGGTAAGCTCGCGAAAAAGCAAAGTTCAGTCTGGGCCGAACAAGCAGCTGATTTTTAAAATCTCGTTGAAAGGCGTTAGATGAGCCTCGAAAGTGAGTTCTCTATGACTCTCGGATATTCGCTCTCTAAAACGCTTTGAACAATAGAGATCGCGATAGAAGCGTGCAGTAGAATCAATCCGTGAAGTGTCAGACGGAGCGAAACCGCGGCAATACGGTATTGGCATTGGCACTGTAGTTATTTACTTCCTTTCAATGTGAATATCGAATTTCGAACATACTCATTATTATTACAATAATCACCGTATTATTATATTATTAGATTTCACGTTTGATTTTACGTCTACCCGGCCTTCTGCTTCTCGAGTGATAAAAGAATTCTAAATTAATCAATCGGAAAATGAAGTTTTTAAACAAGTGTAACTTTTTCTTTACAGCTACAGCAAATCTTGGAGAATTATTCGCCTTGGGGTAAACCAGGTGGTGGTGCTCCTTGTGCTGCTACCCTTAGGAAGAAAAATGTTCCTCTAGAACCCCTGGAGCTATCGAAGTGTCACAATTTCGGTCAGGTAAAGTTTTAAGCAATTTATGAACCATTTAAACGTCCGAGTGTATTCGGGATTTAATCATTTTCATAGGAGAATATTGAATTCGACCTGGGTAAACAGATCTTTCGTAATTTTCATTATGTTAGTGGTAAATTCGACTCTTTCTGGTCGGATAATCGCTGATACGTTTCATCTGAATGAACAATGTTTCTATTGTTCGCTGCGTTGTTTTTTTTGACATTTTTTTTTCTACAATTTTTGCACCACTGTATTACCAACTTGCAGACCATGGATTGATATCAATCATTGAAATGCACTCGATTCGATGAAAAAAATTGTTACATGGAAACTTGTAATGCTTTTTGAGTGGTTAGTTGTTTTATCCATTTGATCGATGAAAGATAATAGAAAAAATGGAATAGCCAAATATACCAGCTAAGTTATTAATCGAGAATTCGAATATTTAAATCGCTCACATTTTATACGTTTTTCTATTTTTAATGTTGCGATAGAATTTAATTCATGGTGGATTCAAAATTTGATTGTCCCCATGCCACTATAAGCACGGACAAAACCATCATAATAACGAACATTCTTTAACAAATTGGACACTATTCGTTCGATTTTATCGATTGCGTAGTAAATCGATTTTGCGTGGAATTAATTATAAAAGTTTAATCTTTGTTAATTGATGTTTCTTGACCACTTGTTTCGAGTTAAAGAATTTAATTAATTGCTTCCGTGATTTCCTCCGAAATTTTTTTCGTTTCTCTGTTAGGTAATATACCTTCTGTGAAACAAAGTTACTATATCATACAAGAACGCGAAATATCGAAGCAAAGTGTGCTAGTAATTCATTTATAAAAGCATGAATTAAGCATTGTTGATACGAAGTTTCAATTTCCAGTGGCTCTTTAAATATTAACGTTATTAGTAATTGCTTTCTTACCTTTTATTGCCAGTAATCGAAGCTTTTATCTCTACGTTGCCGATCTTGCAGCGAATAGAAGCTAAATTTAAAATTACAAGGTACCGTTGATCTTTCTAATTCGGTTTAAATCAATTCTATATTTGCGTCAGTTCCATCTTTCATACACTCGGCGTACTCTAGTATGGGTTTAGCGCACTGCTCTATCATTGCTCTCCGATTTATCCCTCCAATAGCGCTTTTTTAAATTGAAAACTAAAAGAATCGTATGCAGATGGGATTCGGAATTTTGTTTCATTCCCACTAAAAATGTATACTTTGTTACATCGACCGAAATGCTATAACTCAATGCTACTCCAAACATTGAATGAAATTTGTTCCATTGCCATAAAGCAACGCGGATATGTTACCCATACTAACGGCCTATCGAACCAAAAGCCACACGAGAAAGCTGGGACGGTGAGATCGCGAAATTCCAGGCACGAAAATCTACGAATAATATTATTCCTCGACGTGACGTTATGTACAAATACAGGTGGAGGGAAAGGCGGGGTGGGATCGAAGGTTGTTTGCAAAATTAGGGCGCCCCTGTTTGCAGAAAACAGCTAGCAATTCGTGGCGGAGGATGTCGTTCTAACCCTTATTATCCTGCCAATTACGAGAACCATTATCATCGTAAAGAAGCATTCGCTGCTGTCCGATAATAACCGTGCAAATGTTTGCCTTCGATATGTTTCCAGTGACGCAAGTAGCCAGCGATCGTTCGTGATCGTGATTCAGGATCTAGTTCAGAAGGATTATTTGCAATTCAAAGTCGAGATAAAAAAGATAGCGCATAACTGTGCCGTGTAACACATGGTTTGCTATTTTCTGTTCAAAACGCGCGGAATGGGTATTTTACAGTAGCTCCTTTTTCTCTTCCTTTGGCTTCGATTCCTTCAAAAATGTATGCAACGTTTTATCTTCGTTGCTTTCCAATAATTTATTAGGATCCGTAAATTCTCGCATGAAACGTTCCTTGTGCTAATATAATTTATATTTAATTTCGCCTATTTTAGCGCTTGGTTAACTTGTCGATCTCTTTTCCCAATAATTGACAGACGTCTCGTTAAAATGGTAGAGTTAACTCCTACAAAGGATCCTACATTTTACTTAATAACGAGTCATTATCGAATATATTTCACGTCTGATTCTCGACACCGTGCGAAACATCTTTGCGAGGTTTCGAATCAATTTTTCTGAAAGTTAGTTCGATATCCTGGTTAATGTCACAAAGGCCGGTCATAATGGAAAATGAAAGACCGTCGGAGGGCAGAGAAGATGGCAGCGACGCGATTTGCTGGCGATAAGATAGCGAAAGGGCTTGAGGGCAGTCACAGTTATCGTTATCGTGCTTCTATCGATAAAACGCGGTTATATACCCATCAGTGAGGTGACGTTGCTTTTCATTAACATCTAAAGCGACCTCGTGCACGAAACCTTCCTGCCATCTCGTTCATGGCTTATCGATCGACATGCGTCGATACTCTTTATGCGCTTAACGATAGCTTGTTAACGAATCACAAGGAGATCTTTGTGCAGATAACTCTCAATTATTGAGGTAATTTGCTCGGATAATTTGTCTAGGAACATACCGGTGCTCGTGCTTTCGAAGCTCCATCTCCTTCGCAAATCTTTCCTCCGGAATCTCTTTCATAATTGAAACTTCATCTGCTCTACCGATTATTCGTATTATTTAAGCTCAAAAGAGCATTGATTATCCGAAATAACAGCGATTAATATTTCCAATTAACGAAGGCTGTTGCCAATTCGTCGAAAATTTCACGGTCTCTGACAGAGACGAAATGTTTGCACGATAATAACGTAACGCTATAAGCGTTTCGTAATGACAGAAGTTCGGTGTGTGTGTGTGTGTGTGTGTGTGTGTGTGTGTGTTAGAGGAATTTCGTAATGGGCTTTCCCTGTACGGTAAACGTGAAACACCTTTTTCGTAGCAGTAACGTCGATAAAGAGAGAACGTCGAGGTAGCTAGGTGTTCAGCCCGTTTCCGGTCGGACTGTAGACGTATCGTTCTCCGATCACGTAAAGTTAGGAACGTTCCTACTGGCTTCCCGGCGAGAAAGTCAATTTCTCTCGTAGAGTCGAAAAACTTTACGTCGGGTAGAATTTTCGAAGGAAATTTCCACGAAAAATAGAGCGTAACTTGGTCCCTTTGTTTCAGCGATCCGATGCCGGTCATACGTATTCGACTTTCGAAATTCTCCCGTTGAAAAGTTGAGCGATACGAATAAGAGTGGAAATTTTTGTAGGACGAGTCGCGAGATGAACTCGCCACTCGAACGTTTGTGTTCGCTCGCGAATGAATTCTTTCGAGTGGCGAATCCATCTCGAATATTAGTACACAGCAGGTGCAATGATTTCGAGCACGTGCTTGAACGCGAAGCAGTCATCTCGTACATGTAGGAAACGAACCTTGGAAACTGCTTAATATGCTATGACGCCGTGTGCTTAGCTGGCACCGCTCTGGCCCTGGGGTCGACCTGGTCCTGGTGGAGTTCCTTGGAGGGATCCCAAGTTGCTGGGTGTGCGCTTCCTCGAATCCATGGTACGCATACTTCTTGATGCGTTAGGTTCTAGGATCCACGAACGATCAGCTTGTTAGGCAGACTTTGTGTCTTGTTCTCAAACTTCCCTCTAATTACGAACTTTCGGTTTGATTTTGTTTATGTTTCGCTTTTCTTTTTTCACATTACTTCATATACATTTTGTATATTCCTTACTTGTACTTAGAAATCAGGGGTTGATGCAAGCAGTTTTCGCGAGTAATTGTCAATACTCTTATTCTTTTTACGAAATTGTTCATAAAATATACTATTGGCTTGGCAAGAAAGTACTTTCGGTTTTCTAGTGTGAAATAGAACTCAATGTTTTCTATACAGTAAATAAAATTTTAATCGGTAAAATATCTTTCATTCCATTCGATGACCTTTTGCCATCTTTCTGGTAACTTCATGATCCCGCGCTCATAGAATTTCTGGTCCTTATCTGCAAAAATCTTAACCAAGTGCGTAAATCTCAGAAGATCGACCAGAACGTTGTGGGTATCTTTCAGTGAAAAATCTTCAGAACGAAATTTTTTAAACTAATTCTGACACGTGCGTTCTGTTAAACAATCAACACCATAAACCTCTCGTATCTCTTTGTGAGCCTCAGCCGCATTCTTGCCTTTATGAAAATAAAAAAGTAAAATGTGTCGAAAATGCTTATTTTTGCACTCCATGATAAGACTGACCGTGAACTGACTGTTATAAACGAAATTACACGGAATTTCACGAAATGACAACCTAAAGGTATCGACTACCACATCTCGAAAGAAAAAAATTCTAATATTGGCAAAAGAATAACTAAACATGCATAACATTATTTACCGATGCAAACCGAAATTACTTTCTTGCTAACCCAATATAAGAATTTGAAATGAAAGGCAGGGGTAAGTAAAGACAAACGAGTTCCCGATTACTCTTTGATACGAGGGAATGACCTTTGTTTCATCGTTGAGTTATATTCGTTGATCGTAACTCGGTTACTTATCTCGGACTTTTTCCACGACCGGTATTTCACGATATGGAATTCGGAGTTTCACAACGCGTTAAGTTTATCGTATGCTGCGTCTATTCCATATCTCGCGTTCCAAATTAATCTAACGTGCAACCGGATAACAGCGATCGGAAGTGGTAAGCGTTCGCGCTATCGAAGGGAATTTATACCGCAGTTCGAGTACCAGTTTTATAAACAATTGTATAAAATCAATAAGAGTATCTGTTTAACGAACCGAAATGGAATCGATATTAGAATACGCGGAAACACATTGCATAAAACCGTAACCGTAACCGATACGTGACCAAAATATAATAGAATCGATATAGAATCGACGTTTCTATATCGAAAGCTACTGGGATTGTTATAGCCTAAATTGATATCCTCGCTAATTTCGGTTCTCTATCACGATTATAGAGCTTAACGGTTCTATTAAAATCTTTAACAAATCGGAATCGATGTCAGGGAAGTTGTCAACCCCTGCTAGAGATCGCTACACTCGTACTACACCGATCATCCTCGTCGCCTTTCATCTTTTCACGACTTTTCGGTGCGGATCTCGAGATCGGCTAGCTGGAACTCGTGGCTTTGTACATAGATGCAGAGAAGCAGCTCCTGGAGATATATTATTTCGATAGAAAGTACGATCGTCGTGCTTTTAGACCGCGATGCATGACCCGTTAGCAGAGATGGACGACGAGCCGTAGTGGGATGCAATCAAGGCTCGCTGGTTTTCCGTCTCGATCCTACGATTTGCACACACGCAGGTTAAACTCCTACCGCGGAAACGGACGCAACGACGCGTACCGTGTCGGTACAAGACGGGACGTAGGTTTTTCTATTGGCCGGGATATCATCGTAAACGGTGGGTGTCGGTAAACAACGTTTGAAGTGGAAATTAGCGCTTATATTAACGTGCTTTCGAGACACGGCGGTTGCGTTTCCGTGCAGACGTTGCTTCAATCGAGCACACCACCCAACCCTAGCCTCCTTTCGGCCTTTCCTCTCGGCCTCAACCGCGCCGACTATCCCCAAGGACGAAACTCTTAATTTTTAATTAACCGCCGTAGCATCCTCGAACGGCAAACACATAACCGTGCCGCGTTACTGCGTAATTGAACGATCCTCTGACCAGCTTTTGCGACCTGAAAGTTTAAACTGAAATTTATTAGCGCGTTCCACTTCAGCCAAGTTTACTTCTTCCTGCACGTAAACCCGTCCTCTTGCTACACCTTTCCCACAGGGATCTTTCGGCCTGTGAATCTTGCTTCGTCTGTTCGAAGCATTGCGTTGTCTCTCTCGCGTGAAACTGTTCCCGGGCATGGATTTATGGAAGCTTTTCTGTTTTTCTTCATAATAAACCACACGGCCTTGCTATAACTAACCAGCTAACTGGAACGACGTTGATAAATGGAACGAAGCAACCGCGTTAAGTCAAGTCTGGTCTAGCTAAGCGATTACTGATTATCTGATGATAAATTTTTCTCGTCAGCTCTATTGCCCTTCTTCACGATTTACTCTTTCATTTATCGCTTCATCGCGCTTCTTCTTCTTCTCCTTCGTTTGCGCTCCCAGTTGTTTGGGAATTTTTACGTTCCATTAAGTCTTAAACCGCGGAATCTCTTTTTTTTCCTCTTTATTTCGTTCTTTACATCGGATTTCCGGGGCAACGCTGACGTTCGAGCAACTGGACCTCACCGTTGCTTACATTGTTTTCGTTGGGTTAAAATATCGGACGAGCTTTGGGATGTTCGCAAGGGTTAGGAAACCCTTTGTAGACTGTGCGTAAGCGGGTTAGACAATGGCACTTCGATATTACACGAACACCGCTACGTACCTAGATCTTAGAAGCGATCAACGCAAATCCAAGACGTGAATACCAATGAACTCCTGTTCGACCAAGTCGATCCGGTTTGCATTGCACAAGCTGCATCACTGGCAGCCAGTTACCACTTTGAATCCTTTCAGGGCTGGACGAGCAATTCGACGATCGAAAGGTTACACAGGAGGAGTATTAATCCTTTGCCCGTCACGGATATGAACAAGTTCTTTGATGATAAGGCAGAACCAGGTAAACGGACGGATATACTGAGTGTCGGTGTTGTATGGTCAGTATCCGGTTTCTAGGTTAGTTTGTTTCCTAGGTATCGCCACGGATATGCAACTGGTAGAGGATTCGAAAAACCCGTACAACGAGGAAATTCAAGTGTACGAATTGACCGGGGGCGTGGAATTGGTGCCGCTTTTGACTAGCAGACGTTATTACTCGCAACCGCAATGCATTCGTCACGTTGTCACCGATGCTACGCGTCCTGGATACACGATAGAGTCGTATGTATCGCGTATGGAAAATGAAATTTCTCGTTTTCCTTTAGCCTTCATTTTCATGGATCGTCCTCATTTCCGATAGCCGATATTCTCGCCTATTCCTTTTCCTTTCGTTGTCGTAGATTATTCTCGGTACCTTTCTCAGCTACCCGAAATTTCGTTATCGTGCCAACGAAATGCGACTTTTGTAGGTCCCTGACTCTGTGACGTCGTATTGAATGCCACTCGTGTCATTCGGGTATAATCTAGATGTGTCGAAAGACATACCGTATCAAAATGCGACGAGCCATGAGCCTACAATGCAGGTCTGGTTAGCGTTGTTACGCTACTCCGGGGATGTAACTGCATTACAGGTAATCAACCCATTGACCTGAACTCTCTCGACCTCGACAACTTCAGCTGACGGTCCCTCCGCAGCCTCCCTCTTCCTCTCGAATGTTTGTCAACGTTACAATCTGTCGCTCGATGTGCTCGTCAACACAGTTTTGCTTGCAATATCTTCTCGGCCCCTCTAGTTTTCCTCGTTCGAAGGCGTTTGGATAACTACGCGCTGAAAAATCGCTCGAGACGGCTGCCTTGTCGAGTATTGTCGTTCACGCTAGTCACTTTCCTTTTACTTTCTCCTCGCACTTTGAAATATTGCTTTCCTTCTCCACACCTCCGTGATTTCGCTTCGTTCGCGTTCCACTAACATCTACAAACGAACCGGGTGTACGTGCAGGGCTAGTTTTACTTCAGACGCATATATGCCTCGAAAGTAAAAGAAAAAGCGAGGAAAATCTTGAATCGTGACTCGCTCTTGGATCTTTCTGCTACAATTTCAGCCTCTCTTAACATTTTCGAGAGTAGTAGCAATTTCTAAATTAACCATATACGTACGTACCGTGAGCGATGTTTGAATTTCTTTCCGTCGAGTATGCTCCTCGAGTTCTTTCGCGTTAGAGCTTACTTTACCGGCTCGATCGGATGAAGATATTATTATCGTGCTCGAGTTAATAGAAATTCATTATCCTCGAGTGAAAATTCCTCTCGGTCTTTGACATTTTCTGCTTTCGTCTCCGGTTATTGATCGCCCTTTCTGCTCGAGAGGGACCTATGCTTTGAAACTTTCGGATCAAGCAGAACTTTCTCCGCAAAGTTTCGAGGGCGTGCAATTTCGTTTCGTGATTTTATCGTCATCCATATCATTTAAAGTCATACGGGATATTGTTTTACCGTGGCTTTGTTATACCGATTACAAACGGGTTCACTGCCAGACTAGTGTATAACGAGACACTTTGATAGCGTTTAATGGAATTTCGTATGAAGCAGCTGTCAGGGATGTTACGTTGTTTATAATATGGTTGGACGTCAGCGCAACACCGCGGCAATTAATCATCGTTCATTATCGACTGCTTTATAGAAGAAAAGGGAGCAGAATCGAAGCAAGTTATTCAGATATTACGCGCGTCTGGAACGTTTCTCTGGGCTGTAGATAACTTTTGATCCAGCCATTCTATTCTTTTCTCTCGCGAAATACCAGAGGGAATGGAGTGCGCGGATAAAGCAAATTCCAGGGATGGATGTTCTAATTCGCTTCTTGTGTTTGTTAATGAAGGGACCCTTATCTTGGAGAACGATTCTTGACGAAATAAGAGACACCGGAACAATGCGCCGCTCCTGTTTCCACTGACATCACATTTTGTTAGCCACGCGGGTAAATTCGATCTCGCTGTAAGGAGACACGGTCGGCGAACTTTCCAACGATATTCATTTGGATCTTTTACAACTTCTTCGTTGGTTGAGGTTACAAATTCAAACAAAGCTTTCCTCAAAGATAACAAAATTGTTTCCAGCAGATCTCTGCGTGTGTTTCCTTTTAATTAGGGCTTCATGTTGCATTTCAGTTATGCAAATTTTATATACTTAGAAAGTTCGCAGTTGACATTTTGCAATAACTCGGCGGAACTTCAATTAATTTCGAAAGTTTCCTGATCGCTACAACTTCCACTGTTCTCTCCATGCTCAGCTTATACACTGTACCTTCTACTTTGCGGAGAACAGGAAAAATATGTCTCTCACCGATGGCAAGAGGCTAACTCTTGGGAAAGAAGCAAAGGATTAATCCGTGTATGGTGGAATAACGAAATTGCATTCTCGTCAGTCTTTCTGGCGTCTTTTATCTGAATAATGCCTCTCGTACACGTCGCTATTAAAGAGTAGATGTGTATTCAGTGGACTGCTGTCCGATGTAGGTGTCTTGTAAGGTAACACCGCGCTTATCTTTTCTCACGTGTTTGTAGGGCTGCTTAAATCTTGCGAGACAGAAAGACAAGGAATTATTTCAAGTGCAGGCTTAAATCTTCAGATAACCCAAATGGATTTTTGCAATTTCACACTCCCGGTCTGTCCCTCTAATTCCACGAGGACGAAACTCCGGGATGTTTTGCGAAATTTTTTCGCGAATGTTATTTGTTCACGAGGAAACATTGATAAAAGTGTACGAAACTACTCTGGCCGGGATAATATCCGCGTAAAAAGCCGAGCACAGCCGAGAAACAATATTGCAATAGTTTTCCGAGAGTAATAGAAGTTTGTATTGCGGTAGGTTAGTCTCTCTCGTAAGTGGAAGCGCGGTAACAAGTAGTTGGCGAACGTGTTTGCTTCATATATTATATCCTCGTAAAAAAGGCTGATATCGTTTCGGCGATCCCTGTTTTCTAGACACTTTTCTTGCTTCTTACGGTTCGCTTAACCTGCTTTCACATTTCATTCTGACGTTTGCCAACTTTTCCAACAGGACGCGTCGATGAAAGTTTTATAGATTCGCTGCAAGTTTATCGGAGAAATGGAAAGCGTCTTTTTTATAATAAGAAAGCTGTTCCGAGTGCATGCAACTTGCTTTTCTCCTCGTTGAAGCATTAGTCTCTCTCTTTCGTTGCTTCTCGAAACTGCATCGTTCAGGCGGATTTACTCGTCGGAGCGGCGTCCTTTTTCCCTTGTTTCCGCCTCTCCTTTTTACCCTCGAAGCCGAAAATAACATTCGGGAATAGGTTACGTTAGTTTCGAAGTGAAGCAATTTTGCAATACCGGTATTATCGTAAGTTTCCATACATATCGTAATGAGCGCAGCGGCCATTACCTGAACCAGCGGAATCAGAAGTTATTGTTGGAATATTTATATCGGGGTTGCCATTTTATTCGCCGGCGAAAGCTTCTCGTGCAACTAGTCGCAATTTAACCGGTATTTCCAGTATATGCCGAGCAATTATATATCACGGTTTCAGCTGTTGTTCATCAACCATTCAGCGATGTCTGGCTAAATGTTTGGCTCGATCGAGGCTCTTTCTATACAAAAATTGCGGATTTGATTCGAAACAGGACGACGTTGCGATCGAATTGCGATTCACTTTGCAAAGTTCCAATTTGTTGCGCTGCACGAATAGAAGTTACAATAGCAGTCGTAAAACAATGCGGAGCTTTTGTATCCCGTTTTGTTCGACTTCCGAAATCATTCGGTTTAATGCGTGTTCGAAAGGCAAAATGACGAATATCGAACGATATTGAAATCCGTGAAGCTCATCTGGTCCGCTTTTCTCGATAGATTGCGAGCTTTGGGAGTTGGGAATCGCGAGTACATCGCTGAACTCGCCGAGCAAATGCGACGAAAACGGGAGAAGGCATTGGTAAGTGTGTACAGCAACGAGATACCGGTAACTCGAGTTTCAATTGATTCATCGATAGATGATGGTTATTTGCCAAGAAAAGAAAAAGAGAAAAGAAAAGAAAAGAGAAATGGTGCGTATCGAATTCAACTTGTTTTGAACGAATTATCAGTCGATTTGAAATTTCAGTGGCAGCTTTTGTTCGATGGCAATCGATTTAAACGTGTTCCACTTCAAAGGAAATACCTCGTGTAGCATGTAAAGGGGTGACTCTCGTTCCAGGAGGAACGACGGATGGAGCAGGAAAGCTGTCGCAGACATTTCGATACCTGGAGAAAGTTGTGGGGCCGACCGGGTCACGGTGCTCCCATAGATCACGCCCACCGTAACAATCTCTACAACATTCTCTACCGTCCGGCTATCTATTGAATTTCTACTTGCTGCCGCAGCGTGCAAAATCAGGACTGCATCTTCCACTTTCTTCTCGTGCGATGGAACAACTGCGAAATCTCTTTATGTTACTGAAAGAATTGCTACAGAACAAGCAGCTGGCTATAAAAGATAATAGGTTCGCGAGTCTAAGATAAGGCGATAGAACAGCGGAGATACAGGTTTCTTAGAATAGACGTAGAAGGCAGCGGAATACAGTGGATTTGAGATAAGCGAGGACGGATAAGTGATGGATTGTTACGGAATAGCCCAAGTCGTTTGTAAGAGTCGTATCAGAAGGGGAACGAATCGAAAACTGTCTATAATAGATAATAGGCGATGAAACTTTGTAGCAAAAAGGACGGAGGTGACGGGCCCGATACGAAAAGCAGGGTACACTGTGTAATTAGTGGATTTTGCTTAGGAAGTACGATATTCGTAGAGTTGGTTAATAGGATTTTAGCTTACAAGGAGAGTGCAAGTCCTTCGGGTCACCGATGTAATTGAAACTTTGCAAGTTTGTAGATTTCGTCATGCAGTTCAAGAATATATATCATTATAGACGCCACTACTCGATAGTTTTTAAGATATTTACTAGATATTAACACTTTGACTGCCACGGTGGTCATTGGTGACCGTAGCGTTTGAACTACTTAAACTGCATTGAGCAACATTGAATGAAAATTAACAATTAGTACATTTTGAATATAACCGCTAATTACAAGATACTTTGAAATAAAAAGTGCCCCATTGAACGATTAAACATTTTTATTAGAACATCAAAAATATATTAGAATAAATCTCGCATCTAGCGGTGCACTCTCGTTTCCCGAGGGAAACACGTGATTTCGGCGTGGCAGTCAAAGGGTTGATAAGATTGCTATAGAAAACTGTTTTCCTTGCATCGTATTCTTATTATTCCGTAACAAATATATACTAGCATAAGAAATCGTAAAAAATAAATTTTTTTGATTAAGAAATTTGATTTACAATTGTTAATTCACAATGTTTTCATAGGCGAAAAATGAATATAAAATGAAAAATAGATCGAAGAAGAAAAACCAACTAGAGACGGGAGTCGAACCTCGGACCCTGCGTCATATGAATTTTCGGGTATCGCTGTTAAGCCACATCACCGCTTGAAAAGCACAAGAAATAAATCGGTAGTTACCGAAGTAATAAAACTTTAATCGCAAATATCTGAAAAAGTATCGTGTAGTGGCGACTATAATGATATATATTCTTGAACTGCATGACGATATCTACAAACCTACAAAGTTTCAATTAAATCGGTGAAACGAAGGACTTGCACTCTCCTTGTTAGTTGTTCAAATTTTTATAGATTCGCGTTTAAGCAATTTCTAATTATCATCGCTCTACATGAGCCTTGTATGCTAATTACAGGGACATATTTTAATATTTCATTTGCATATTAGACGTGCAGTCGCTTTACATTTATAATCAATTTCGTTCAAGTTACCTGCGCATGCATAGTGAATATAGCTATTATAAGGATGTTGTGTCGCAGACTCGTTTGCTTTTAGCAGCATTCTGTATAAAACCATGTTACTATATTTAACGAAATAATGACATCGCGACGAATTAATCCAATAAGAACGTCGCCTCGAAGCTTTTACTTTTAATTGTCTTTAGAAATTCTCCGCTATTAATACCTATTCCGACTCGTTACTGGCTAATTTTCGATTAATCCTTGCACACATTCTTCGCGAGCTTCTCTGCTACCATACTCGGATTTTGTTTCTCTCTGCTTTCCCGTTTCTTTCACTTAATGCAGCCATTCTAGGAAGACATTCAGATAGATCTGACAAATACCTCGGTGCCTGCGCACCTTTCATTCGCACGATAATCTCGAGCACCGACTCCATAGCACTCGGCTTTCGCACATCTTTTCAAACATACTTATTCCGCTCTAGATAAATTTTTATTTCTACGTTATACCAAGAATCAGCGTGTTTTACGTCATTTCTCGATATCCACCGATTCAGCCGTTTCTCTCGGATAGGGAGAAAATGCGCATAATTATAGAAAATGTCTATAATTCCGAGTGTGCTGTCCCGACAGACGATAAGAATCGGACGGAGGACTTGGTTTATTCGTGGAAATACGGAAGAGAAATCGGTACGAATGGCTTTCACAAGGTAATACACGTCGAATCGAGTGAAGGAACGTGTCGGTCGAGCTATTAAATTTCATGAAAGCCCTCCAAGGGTACGGGGAGACGTTTGATAAAGTAGAGGCGTACTACGATTGACCAGACCTCAAAGGGGCAATCTCGAGAGGACGTGGCTACCCTTCGAACCGATGATTTTTAAATCTCATGAACACCAAAGAACGCGAATTTGAATATATTCGTAGGTGTGTGCGCGCGTGTGCGGGTATTACGGGGATTCCGACTTCGAAGATAGTCAAAAGAAATGAATTGCTACTGCCGATACTGCTGTCCTCAAAAACTTTATTGGCTACTTCGGTTCACGACCATCAAAGAACGAAAGCCGACAGACGAGCGAAGAAAGGGAGGAGAAACAGCCACGCTCGTAAAACAGTTTGCAATATCGCATGCCATGCTAAATGGGGCGAAGCGGCTGTGCGTTTGAACGCTGCGTTCAAACATCTGCAATGTTCCATAATATTTCAGGGGAATACTCGATGAAAGTTCAGCCCCGAAATACTGTCGCTATTTACGCTGAGTTGAAATTCAATGGAATTGCGTTTAGAGGGATGAATAAATACAGACATGGCTTAAAAATTCTTTTATTTCCCTTTACAGCGAGATACGAAACAGTGGACGTAAATCGTACCCTTCCACGAGTAGATCCTATAAATTTCATCCTCGTTTCCACGCTTCAGCGACGATGATTCCTCCATACCGGCGAACATGTCGACAAAGTATGATAACCTCGGAAGTTCTGTAATACGAAATTTAGCCGAGAATATACGTCCGAATAACGGAGATCGTTTCCCGGTTGGAGAACGTTGTCGATGAAAACAGGAGACGCGACAAACTTTCCTTTTAGTTAGCTAAACAGCAGAGTTACAGGGTACGCTAAAAAACACCGGCACGTGCTGGCTAGCCGATCGATGGATCCGATATTGCGCTAATTAGATACGAATTAACCGGTCAGTCGAAGAGGAGAGTATCCGAGACGAGCGCGCCTCTAATGGACGTCGCCAATTTAATTTCGATGTTGCTCCGCGCGCCGGTACGGTACAGTTTGTATTCCTAAACGTGCACCTTTGTTCCGTCGTCAGGCATAGAGAACTCTAGTTTCATCCTTGCCAGGCTACTACGTTTTCCTCCCTCTGGAAAGCCACGGAATCCAGCGTTGTCGCGCATCTCCCTGGTTACGATCCCTCCGTCCGAGCCGCAGCCACCGCCGGCCGAAAGCTACGCTTTCCCCATTGTCTGACTATTGTATTCCGTTACCACTGTGTGTCCGTTCGTTTGTATAAGAGTGATTCATTTTCCGCGAAATATCAGTTCCTGCGCCGCATGAATTGCAACTCGCACGGCCGCGTAAAACCGCCGCGCGTTGCAACCCTTCCTCCGTTCAACACAGCCACCCCTGTATTCGACCCTTTTCCTCTCGCTGTCCTCCTCTTCGCTATCGTTTATTCGTTTCTATCTCTTTCGCGGCGCGCATTGTCGCGAAATTGGGTCGGTCGCTCGGCGCTGCCTGAAATGAGATACGTGGCTAGTGTCGTCGGTGTCGGTGAAAATTGGTCATTGCTATCTCCTTTTCTCCTACACCTTCGCGCTCTTTTATTTCGTGTTTGCCTCTCGTTTTTGCGTCGCCGTTTGACGCGTATTTAGGCAGCGACGCGGAATAGAAAAACATCGCCGCTTTTTCCGGTCGCTCCTTTGCGGAAGACTCTTTAATTTCCGGCTTTGCTTTCGAGAACAGTCGAATCGCCACCTCGAATCGAGTATCCCAAGCGTGTTGGCTAGTCCACTCTTAGACACGCTCGCAAGCTATCGCGTGTAATTTTATTTCCAAAGTGCACACAGAGTTCGACGATCGCGAAAGGAGAATTTATTCTACTCCGCGATGCTGCTACGCCATGCAGCTTTGATATTACAGGACGTAAAGCGCGATATTTAAATCAATCACGGGTATCGGGAGAAATATGTACGATTTAAAGGATGTTTCGTTTTCCATCAGGCAGAAAGAAGATCGCACGAGCAGCCGCGGAAAATGCCGGAAATAATTTGGCGGCTCTTCTCCCTCCGCTCGTCCCGGAAATACTGCCACTTTTCCTACGGGCTCCTCTTACCCGTACCCAACCTGGACCATAACTTACCATAACGCGACATCGATAACAAGTTGACGGCACCAGCGTACAGACACGGATACGTGCGCGTGCATTCCGTTCGTCGGCTACGCTTTCGGCGTATAGAAACGCGCGCGAATGGCGCCATAGCGCGAGTTCTGTGCGCGAAATACGGTTTTCGTGTGCGTGTGCGGATTAATTCTCTTTTTTATTTGCAACCTTTTCCCTTTTACGTACGAAGTGAATCCAGATTAAAGGGATACCTTTGGAAGCCGGTGCAGGTGCAGTGGCACGGTCGACGAACGGTGAGTCGCACGTTTTTTTTTACATCTCTCTAGCTCGTAAATAATTATTTGCGTACGTATCGTCGAGATGCGAATAACAATTAAAACGTGCCATGAGAAATTTATTAATAACCGGTAACCCAGTCGAATTTTCGTTTCCCCGTGCGAACGTCGCGAACGCGCGCGTATAATTTCGTCTGGCACAGAGATACGTGACCATGCAAGCGGTGGAAAAATTTCAGTCGCACCGACGATGAGTCCGATGATTAACAGCTCGGCCATAACGAGCGCTTCGGTCCTACTTAATTAGAGATCGGGTAATTTATGCGGCAGACGCGTTCCACGCTCACCGGCGACGCTCCTTTCTTCCTTTGTAGCAACGTTTCCTCCCAATCTCGCTTTTATTTTTCACCGTTAATTGTTCCGCGCCCTTAAAGGAGCGTAATAAATTTCCGTCTCGCGAGTCCCTCTCTCCACGTGGACGCCGCGATTAATTATTTTTCCCTGTTTTATACACACGGCCCGATCGCTTTGTTCGAGTAACTCGATCCACTCGCTTTATCGATATCGAGTCGAGCAAACGTGAATAGATTTTTCGCGACCGTTGAAAGCGCGCGAACAGGCGTAAAACGTATAAAACGACTGAAGCCAATCGCCGTGGAACTTTTATTCGACGTTTATTAGACGCACTGCCTTTACCGCGATTCGATAAGTAATTTCCACGAGAGCCACTGCAGCGACTTTATTCGACCAAGAACCCGCCCTTAGGAGCCCGCATTCTTACCTCGAGAACGAAGAACGGTGTTGCACGCTGTGAAATTTATTAGTTTTAGAACGGATAGGAAATTCTCCATCGGATCGTCGATAAGCTTTCCGAGGGGATTAGTTCTCCTCGAAAA